CCCTCCTCATCCTCGTAGCCCTCCGCTGGACTCTCTCCAGTAGCTCCTCATCTTTCTTGAACTGGGGAGCCCAGCACTGGACACAGCACTGCAGATGGGGCCTCACCAGGGCAGTGTAGAGGGGAAAGGGAACCTCCTGCTAAATTGTGCGAGAAGGTGGAAGGTGTGCCAAAGTGGAAGAAAAAAAATAAAAGGAATTTATCTTCAGGTGGCGTGAGCTGGCAGGCCGTGTCGGGTCTCGGATGTCCCCGGGTCGGTGCCGGACCCGTTGAGAAACACGGAGACGCGGAGCTGAGCCGCTCGCCACCAAGCAAGAGGAGGAGGGTTTGAAATCAATGCAGCATCAAATCAAAAAAAGAAATCAAATAAAACATTTCACACCAGGACCGTCCGAACACACGCACGGGCCCGCACGTCACCCTCCACAGCGTCGGCTACGAAAGGAAACGCGGTACAAAGGCTGCACCAGCGCTGTAATTTTAAAATATTGAATATTGCTTCAGTTTGGCTTAATTGTGGTGACAACTTTCAGGCTACTAAAATAATTAAACCTGCTAAAATTTATTAGGGCCCTAAGGACATTTTAGAGGGAGTACTACCCTAGTCTGGAGCTTTAATGCCTCGGCTACATTTAATGTAATTTTTATCAATAACCAAGCAGCTCATAATATCATAGCTCCGCTGGAATCTTCACGCTGTGAAACCTAATTCATCGAACGCGTGAATCCATCACTCACACAGACCCCACCTCGGACGCTATCAAACCTCCAAACCCACCGATTTGTCTCCAACAAAACCAACACGGAGGGGCCCCGGGATCGATGACGGAGCCCCTCTGATTCGGGCCCCAGCTGAATATTTTCTCCAACTTTGCTTTTGTTCTTCTGGGTAGAGACCCACAAGGGAAAGCGCTTGTTTTCACTCGCAGCCTCATCAATACCTAAATCCTGGGGAACAAGTGACACGGAGAAGCTGTAATCAATAGCTCCCTGTGCGTTTTTTCTTCTGGTCAAATGGTTCAGCACTCCTGACAGCCCTGACACTCCGAACATGATGCTAAATCTTTATCAGCAGCCATCTGGGTGACTGGCAGAACAAGGCTCGGGCGGTCATTAGCGCTCGTGGCGATCTGCGAATAAACGAACTCCTCGATAACGCGTTCGTTTAGAAAAAAGGCGTGGGGGGGAGGAAAAACTCCCTGCACAAGGCATCGATCGGCT